GAATAGAGGGTCATATCGCTGAATTGGCTACTTGTCACAGTTGGCCCTGACCTCAACCATAGACGGAACCGTTCCCTTTGAAGGGTTCTCAGTTGAAATAAGTTCTGTTATGTTCCCTGTGCTTTGAGCTGAATCCATCAGGGCATAGTGGGAGCTGACAGGCCACTTCAGTGGAACTGCTATGTTTTTTGGTCACTGCCTATGACCAGATTCCTTTGGTCACTCGCCTCCTTGCGAATGAACCCCACTATCCGGTAATCATAAGAAACAGGCTATAGCGTTGCTTTATTTGTTCGATTGCTTTGGTGTTTTGCATATGTTGAGAAGTGACAGAATTGAAAGAATTCATTTATATAATATTAACTAAGAATGCACTAATGGCACGTTTTTTACGCGCATACGAACTGTTTGTTCACGATCTTCTTCACGTATGGAGCGCAGCATGTCGCTCTCGGGAATGTACAGACGGGAGATCCACAAGCTTGATTTGATTTGAACGCTCCACTGTAATCAAATGATTAAGTTGCATGTAATAAAAAAAAACTTTTTTTCCTAATCCAGTCTAGAATAATACTCGAAAAAGCAGATCTTTTGTTATATTAAAGGCAGGTGGTGCGATGAATTGATTGTCGAAAAGCGCTACGTAAAGAGGACCTAGACCTTTAGGAAATGAAGATATTGCGCCTGCGTGGCGAATTTCGAGCCCGTGATGGCATAGCAGAACTTTGCTCATAATTTGCTCATAATGACCGCCGTTCTTGTGGCAAGGTCCGCCCCCGCGTGGCGGACTGGTTTATGATTGGTCGATGACTAGGGCTGTCATCTGCTCCGTGAAGGTTTCATGAGGCAGAGCAATGTGTTAAGATTGACGACGTCATCTATCTCAGAATTCGTATAACGCGAAAATCAAAGACAAGAAAGAGTTTTCATCTCGCCGGTTTGAAGGCACGGGCGGTTTGGTCGCGCTTACCTGTTCCATCCCTCTAGGGGCAGTAGACAGGCGGACAAGCGCTGATGTCGCACCCCTTTTGCGGCTTGAAAGTGCCCGATAGGAGCACACGAGCTCGTCCGACCCGCAACCTACTTCGAAGGGCGGGGCTTGCAGAACTAGTTGGCAAACCGAGTACAGTTCTGAACTCGTCACCACTCCCCTCCTCTGTCTCAAGGTAGATTGCGGTTGAAAGAGAAAAGGTTCCTATTTAGGGCGTGATCGGGGATATTTGCTTCCATTTCCTTTCCCAGAACACCTCCCACCTCTAGATTCATACCTGAACACTTCTTCACACCCATTTTGTCCCGAAGCTTGCCTTTAAGTTCGTCCCTTGGCTTTTCCTTCACCTGCATTACACGTTGCCTACTACCCCTTGTGTCCATAATTAAACCTCTAATGTCCGCAGTATTAGAAAAAGTTGTACAATAAATGCATATGCTTAAAGCAGCGGTCATGCTGGCTGATAGGTGGAGACGGGTTGAACACGTCAACACTGAAAAGCATCGTCATTGGTTCAATGACCGACCCTCGACGCCCTTCCACTAATCACGACGCCTTTCCAGCGATAGCATGTCCAACTCGTCTCCACATTTCAGCCAGCGCAACCGCGCCTATAAAGATACCAGAATTGAAAGCTTTGAAACGTACGTGCCACTGGCATCCCGAAGGCCAGCAGTAACGATAGGAAGATATGACACCACACATTCCACAGGTATCGTTACAAGTGGCACCCGATGCTGTCATCCAGTTTGTCCATGTACCAGGACATTGCACGGGCTGAATGAATTGCATTGATAAAGGTAGCCGCTAAAAATTCATGCACATACCGGTTCCGGTTGACAAAATTTGGCGCCGTCGTATCCTACTGCCGGATAGCCCTTACAGCATGCAGGAGCAGTTGTGCAAGCCGCCTGTCCGCAATCTCTCGATTCGGTAGTGCTCCCCCTTAAGCGAGTGATTGAGCAGTACCAACGGACAAGGATGTGCCACTGAGAGGAATCACTCACGTGCATGGACAACCGTATGGAGCTGAGGCACAGGTACGATTACGCGCCTGAGTACCACAGAGGCCGCAATCAGCAGAACAGGTCGACCATTCTGTCCATTCGTTCCAAAGCCCTTTCTTCTCTGAAAAAAAAACCTTCTCTTCCGTGCTGATGGGCTATTGGTAGAATGAATGGCATACCTGGATCGCAACAAGTGGTCTGCTCGGGATTGAACGCAGGCACCACTGGGAGTGGTCCACAGAAAAACGTTTTGGTTTTGGCATCTGCCTTCTTTGTGAAGCCGGGACAGCACGTCGTTCTCGGGAACAAACACACATCTGTTCCGCAAACTTGATTTTCAACGGCTTCCCCTCTTCTTGAAACAAATGCGAGCGTTGGAACAGATGTGTTAGTTTCAATGTTGGAACTTAGTTTTTTAAAGTTGTTCCCCCCTATTACGTGCCACGGAGCATCCGTATTGTATGTGAAGCATATTCGAACCGGTCTAAGCAGAACTTAGGGCTCGCTCCGGCTGCCAAATTGAACAACATGATAAATCATCTGACATGTGGCCCACAAGTAACGCTCATCTAAAAATCGCCCCAGATTCCTAACATATTCGCCACATGGAAGAATATGGAGTAGTACAGATTTACTGCGACATGAGCCATTGGAATGTTGTGTGTCTTTTTCTATAAGGAAGCCCAGCAGATTTCAGTTGGACGTTTTGATAATGATCTTTTTGTTTGCAAAAACCAAAATGAAGTTCACTGAAACAAGAAGGACTCGATTGCCTGAGCGATATTTCCGAACCTGTTGAAGGCTGTGTCCGCAATAAAAAGATAGCCCTTCGAGCGCTAGACTGTATTAGTGACGCAGGGATAAAGAACAGAAATCCAATCCATGAGAAACGACTCAGAGCCAGGGAAATGGAACCACTTCTATGCTTGTTGGTTTTCTCATTGATGCGACTCTCATTGGTGCTGCCCTCTTCAACGCCAGCACTCTGTCTGCTAAACGGTCAGAGTCAGACGGCGAAAGGGTGGACGTGCCGCGGTGCGGATGTGGCCCTGCTTGGTCACTGGGGCATACTCTTCGCTACTTCGTTTTGCATTCTTAGGAGGCCGCCTTCCTTTCGATTAGGCATATTTCGCCTTCTTTAAACCCCGACCTTATGTGGAACCCTCCTGTAAGTCTGATACTTCCGCTGCAGTTACAGTGGTGGAGGCGGCCTTCTTGACTGCAGCTGCGGTAGTGTGGATCCCGATCCGACGTAATAGGCGTTCCAGTTCTTCTATGCATTGCTGAAGCTGACACCGAAGATAGATGCTTACTTAGAGGAAAACCAAATCGTAGAGTTTTTTTGCTGTATATCAGTATGCATCTGAATGCTCCCACGTACTGCAATGACAAAACTCTGAGGGCGCCCGGTTACGGTACCGCAGGCTGGAGGGTCATAACTGCCCACGTATGGTGCCGACACGAACCCTCTCATATAAAAGTTCCATGGAGGGACCATCCGTAAAAAACAAAAAGTTTCACCTTTCGATGGGCAGCAGTCTACTCCACAAGTGTTGATGTATGGTTCTTCGGGAACGACCGGCTGAAATCCACAGTCTTCATTTTATTTAAAATTTCAGAAACTTTCCATAATTTTTTAAATTCTGTATGAAGGAAGGTGGGGGGATTCATGCCTTGTTCGCAAAGCTATCAAAGATATCAAACATTCTCAGGTTTTGCAATCAAAAGGATAGTCGGTTACAATATTTCAGTAGTGGGACTATGAAGGTTGATGCTATGTAATCTTATAGTAAGAGAGCACCAAAACGCCTTATAATAAGGCTTCTTTTCTTGTTAGCTTCGATGTATAGTATCAAGAGACTATTGGCTCGCATTAGGGTGTGTGTCTGAATGAGAAACTCAGACGACGAGGGCACGAGTAAGATAGAGATGAGGGAGACGCATACAGGAAGAGGGTGTCAGGGAATGCGCGCCTGCCAACGTTTTGTGGCCTACTAGCGTCGTTCCTGAACGACCTTCGGGTGCAATGATAGCAAATATCGACTCCTCAAGCACTGAACCCCATGATTAGTCTGGCACACTCAACTAAGCTTTGTGCCTTTGAAGCGCGAGTGTGATTCTGTGAATGTGAGAAGCTGAAACTGATTTACCACAGGGCCACACGAATGCCGTCCCTTGATGACGGTCGATGTGAATCCAGGACAGCACGACAAACGAGGGAAGTAGCACACGTCGGTGTTGCAGGGAGTTGATATGGTGGTAGCTCCACTGGAAACAGGAAATGTGCGTTATGCTATCACTGATTACTGCTAAGAACTGGCGATTGATCTTGAAAACATACTTGCAAGGGCAGCCATCAGCTTCGGACAAACAAGTTCTAGTTTTGGTAACATTTCCACATGATCCACAGTAGTCTGAACATTGTTCAGGTGTTTGTGTCCATTCTGACCAGATTCCGTTATCGGGACAACATGTGGTTGTTTACAGTACGGATCAACCGGTGCCAGAGGTGTTGTGTAGTTTGGCTGAATCTCGCTTATTTTGGGCTAAAATTTTCGGCTACAAAACGTTAGACTGTACCTGTGGTCCGCATGCATGCTTTCCGTCTATGATCGCTGATGAGTACGGAGAACAGCAAGAGTCTCTTGGGAAGTAGCACACACCGATATTACAGTTCTTCGTTCGTGTTGCAGGGCCCCTGAATTCAATAGGGTAGCCTGGGAGTTTTTTCCTGAAAACAGCCGCTCTTCCAAATGAAAAGGGTGAAAATACAGGGAGAGTTAAACGAAAAAAAGAAGAGAAATATGGGAAAATCACACCATCAGCGCAATAGAAATGTGCAATTTCTACACCTTTTACCGTTGAGCTCATCTAAATAGGTGTCAGACTTCGCGACTGCACGCATGGCCGACGCAATGCCAGAAGCGCGAGCGACAGGAAGCCCGTTGCGCGACGAGAAGGCAAAGACGCAGACGGGTCAGCGGACGAGTCGCAACGCGTGCTGTAGTTATTCAGATAAATAGAATGTACTATAGCACGTCCCACGTCACACAGCACGCGCTGCGACTCGTCCGGTAAGCTCTCTACGCCTCTGCCTTCGTGCGAGGGCGTGCTGTCGGGTATTCGAAAGCTATGGATCAATCAAGACGCGCCCTACTCGCAGTCTTGAAATCGCGCCACGCCCCTCTCGTGACTAAGATTACGCGATTTATAACGTGAAGTCTGACACTGATTTTTGAAAGGAGGAACACCAATTGGGATTAATAATCTCTCCGTATAGCCCTACGCGACGCTCTTTATTGAGAAAGTCTTGGCGATACTACTAGCGACACTTACAAACATGTTGATCAATAGGTATAGGTCAGGAGATAACAATGGCAGGCCGATTGGGTCATTCCATAAGTAAAGAGCGCTTTCAATGATGCGCTCAGACTGGGGAGAACTTCTGACCTACACATGTGTAGAGCACTTTCCTCAGGGTTTCATAGATTTTCGCTCTATTACCTGCAAGTGCAGTTATGTTGCTCCGTAAGACAGACTCGTGATTGTGTAACTTGAGCGCATGAACCACAGGTATCACCACATGCTCCTCCCTCAGTCCATTCGGACCAATAGCCTCCAGAGCTCGGACAACAGGTCCAGCATGTGTCTGATGGTGGTGGACTGGTGTCATCCTATAAATACACTATTTTCAAGAAGTGGCAGCTCAGAGAAACCTAGCTGGATCGTCATGCAGAGCGAGATTTTCTATACAACTGCTCCGAATAGCCTCAGGCCTCAACCTTCCGGAGATTAGGTTTAGCTCAGCCATGTGGAGCTCAATAATCATCCCAAGAAAACCGCTATTTCTTACTTTTCTGGAACACTGCCAATGTTGATCAGGAGCTAGTTCAACCGTACGATTAGCACAGCACGAAGCACGAGGGAAGATGCACGGGCTTGATGCACATTCAGACTGTTTCGTGCTAGGACCTCTGAAACACAGCTGGTACTGAAGTTAGATCAAAATAGAGTTACCACCCGGGATGAATGGCGCCGTGTCACGTACGAGCCAAGGAATCCGAACTGCTCCGATACGCAGCCTCTTGTGCGTGTCGTGTACCGCAGTTTCCACAAGTGTCTGAACAAGCACCTCCGCTGGACCATTCTGTCCAAACCCCTCCAATCACGCAACATGATGCGTTCTCACATTTGGGTAGAGGTGTTACTGTTGGTGGATCCACCTAAAAAGCACACAGAATTATTACAAGCCCTATCATAGCTTTTTGGTTCTTAAAGGCACATTCTGCAACTAAATAGGTGGCGTTGATGCGTCCAAAAATGAACCTAGTTGAGGCTATTTTCACCTGTAATGAAAAGAGACGAAAAGAAACGCTGAGAATTCTTTAAAGTACATAGCACGCTAACCATGTGGGCGGGGTCTGCACAAGGCTCCTACGAAGTCTCATCTATTGAGCGTTTCTGTGATATGGTGTAACACGGGTATTTAGGGGAGCGACACAATGACATTTCCACGGAGCGGGGCGCAAATCACCCAGAGGATCAGCTCACAACGTAATACAAATGCTTTTAGGCAGTTTTTCTTCGCTTCTTTTCATTGCCAGAGGGCTAATCTCCCCATTACCGCTTCCATTTTCAAGCCCAATTACTCCGCACCTATTTAGTTGCGGAAGGTGCCTTTAGGTTTTAAACGATCTCACTATAGGTCCGCAAATTTTCACTCCATCTTTGGTCCATTTCGCTGAATGTTGAACAGCATTTTGTGGTAGAATTTGTACATGGAGCAGTATTACATACGGTATGCATCTCGTCAGGACCTCTGAAATGGAAGTTAGATCAAATATTATCACTGGCTGTGTAAAAGAGTGGAAGCAACAGTACATGCAACTGCATCCATTTTCCGTATCTGCATGTTTACGGAGTTTTTCCGCTGAAATTGCGCAGGATCGCATTGCCGTGGCGTTACCATGGCGTGCAATCTGGAACTTTTGTGATTTTTTCCTAGGATTAAAAGACTTTCAGAGGTTGTCTCACCGTCCATTCACTCCAGGTTGCCAACACTACACAACTTTGTGTTTCAGTGCTGTCACCTATGCATGAACATCCGTACGAGTCTGAAGCGCATTCACGAGTTCTGGTCGCACTTCCACACTAAATATTGTAATTGAAGTTACTGAATCCTTGAAATTAGTTTAAAGTATAGTAGAAGTTGAACTTTTGTCTCGGGCGCTCGACACCCGAACAATTTTGCTGAGACTACGGTATAGCGATGGATGACCAGTGCCTACAAGGTTTGTGATAGGCTTGTTTGGGAGTTTTGGCGTGAGGTGAGGCCTTGAAAATAGATAATAAGGTAATGGGGGGGGGGGGTTGTGGGTATAGCTTGTGCGGCGTTATCGGTTTTGTGGAGAGGGGTTGTGCCGATTGGAGGTATATTGCATATCCGAATGCGTCTTTAGGTCTTACAATAGTTTATCTGTGGGCGAGGTCTGCTTAGCAGGAGACATATCCCATAATATGGACGAGATGTCGCGGTGGAAATACTGTAATGGACTAGGAGCGTTATGCGTACGCGAAAAGATTTATGAATAATGACTGAAACGTGCAAATCGGGTCGTGGGCGGGGTTCGCTCTGTAGCCGGGGATTCCGTGTGGACGGCGCCGCGCTCTCGGACTGAATTTGTTCCTGGAAGTTACTGCTGACATTGGCCCTTCTCCTTTCCTCAGAACCCGTAGAGTTACCTTGAAACAACCAGCTCCAGTACAACCGCTCCATTCACCCCACTCGGCCCAGAATCCATTTGTTGGGCAACACGATGTATCGGGTTCAGGCTCGGTCGATGTTCGGCCTTGAAAAGAAAAATTATAAACATGTCTTATCCTTGCATTTGCTGAGGGCCAATGCTGAACAACATACCTCGTGGACACAGCATGCTTTCCATCAATCACTGTGGAAGTATAAGGACTGCAACAGGACAAACGTGGGAAGTAGCACGTGTTGATATTACAGTTCTCCACTTTAACATCACTTCCACTGAAATCAGTAATTTTGCCGCTTTGAAAGCATCATCACCACTACTATAAGACTACACTCCTCAAAACCCGAGAAATTCTCTAGTCATAAGAGGTCTCCCCCCCCCCTAGTTTCTCAAACTAGTGTAAGAAATTAAGATAGGAGATTACTGCAATGCAAACGAGCAGTTCTGGTCAGTGAAACCAATCGCACTGGGGACCACCGTCTTAAAAGCAGTGCCTAAGAGTTAGGGTACAACCATGTTTTTTTTATTGAGCTGCATGAGTTTGAATGGTCCGAACTTGCGAAGACGGAGCCTCCTTCGCCTTTCTGGAGCTTTCGAGCAGCCAAAAGTATCTCAGTACTTAGTCGGAAAATCGGAACATCTCATCAACATCAGAATTCTTCCTATGAAGGCTGTAATGGTCCTTGCACGATCTCATGAGTGTGTCCCTCGGAATGTACAGAGTTGGCATGAATACGGTGACTAGATCAAACTCTGAGAAGCGCAGATATGCAATAAGGAGAGCTATAATTTTTACACCTTCATTTTCTATGATATCATGAGTTGATCCACCAGTTTGGAGCTTCTCAGCAACAAAACCGCAGTTGAGGTTTCTCAATTCTATGCTTCTCAGGCTTTCGGATGTCCTTCAGACGTTCAATAGCAAAACTCATGCCGAAGGCGTAGTTGGCACCAAATTTCTTGCCGTAACTGGCTTAACTGTGTTTGCCGCTATAACGACGGCCTCCATTTCTTTTCTCACGCCAACGTACACAACCAGCTGAAGAAAGAAACTATGACTTTTATCATGTATAAGCGCACGCAAGAAGTTTGCTTCGTATAGGCATGCAATACAAGCCTATGTCTGCCTAGCCGACAAGCGCTCCCGGATGGGCGGAGGAAAGCACAGTTTAACCCGCTCAATTTTGCACTTTCATCGCTCTCTTGTAGAGACAGTGTAAGCCTTTGAAAATCCAGCGATTGCGGAATGCGAGCAAAGCGCTAGCGGTTTCTCTCATGCGCGCGTTGACTTTCTCCATTTTCCCATGCCCTCATGCTTTTGCGAGCCCGAGAAAGTGGCGAAGAACAAAGTGTGAACGCACGAGGCGTCTGCCTCTTTTCCATACTGTTGAGCATCGCTGGCGCATTGCTCGCACTCCGCGATTCGCTGGATCCGCAAAGTCTGACAGCGCCCCAGCGCCGCGAGTCCACTTTCTCGGTAAGAGAGGACGGGTGAGAGCAGAAAATTAGACGGTACGAACCCCGCAGAATAAACGTCGCTTGATATAACGTGCTTACGCGAGCGCGCACTGTTAGGACATACCGCCATTTTGCTGCACATGTTCGAAAATGGTACACACTGTGTACCGCTGTTGTTCGCCCATATCTATAGCTACTACTATCTGGTATCACGCTCTATCGATGAATGAAACAAGGCGTAGGATTTAGGAGGTGCGCCTTCGCAATGTACGCAACTGCACGCCGACAGGGCATCATACGACTGTTGTTTCCGCATTCCATATCAGCTTGTGTTCTTTTTTGTTCTCTATAGCGCTTTGATGGTCTTTAATCGCCTAACAGTTCTTTGTGAATGGGTATTTTTTTATATACCGTGGATAGCATTTGAAGAGTCGTCGCTGAGCAGCAGCTAAGAAGGAAGTCTAGCTGTACGGTAAGGTTCTGCGACTCGCACAGTAGAACCAAGGGGGCATTATTTTTTTCAACGCTAGTCGATGATTTCGTTTTCAATGCTGTACTTGAAAGCTCGGTCAATGAAGATTTGTTGCAACTCGCAGCGCTTGAGGTGTCCGGGGGACATTTTGGTGCAATAATTCCTGCCGACTACAGTAATCCCAATTTCGGTATGGAGAGATAGGCTCTGGAGTGCCTGAATGAGATCGCTTGTGCAAAAAGGGAATCAGATAGGTATAATTATTTCTGAACCTTCAGAATGTTAGAATCAGAAAGGAAATGTTTGTGACGGTCCTTGCTCTATACACCAAAATGTCTCACCATACTAGCATAGGCGCCCAGCTCACTGCAAATCCTGCTAACTCTTGGTGTGCTGTCGTAATTATTTTTTATTGGTAACTTGGATGCGGATTGTGCATCAGTCAGTCATCGGTTCTCCACCAATCATTTTTTCAGAGGCAACGTCATGCTGGCTGAGAATCGAAGATGAGTTGGACACTCCATCGGTGGAACACTATCATCATTCGTGGAAGGCCGGTGCCAGACTTTGCGAATTCATCGAATCGCGGGGTACGAGAATGCACCAGTGGTTCGAACAGGGCGCCAGTAGTTTCTTTCATGTGCGTATCAACTTCCGCTTTTTTCCCATGCCCCTATGGGCCCGGGAAGGTGGAGAGAGTCAACGCCATCAAGGAGACTTTTGCCGCTTTCCCACACAGTTGAGTCGCTCGTGCATGGTTCGAACCACCGGCACATGGCCCATACCCCACGGCTCGCCAGACTCGCGGTGTCTGACATCGGCCGAAATGGCGATGCCCTTCCACCGAAGACGTTTCCAACCCATCTGCGACTCTCAGAGTGCTTCCCCTTGTAGCCAGTCTCTGGAAGCTATACATGATGTTGAAGAAATAAAGGGCCTTGTTCTGTATCCGCAAACATTCGGGTCTTTGCAGTCGCAAAGAATGATTTCAAGGTGTTACTACTTCATGAACAGATTTCAAAGAACTTACATGCATGGGCATCCAGCCTCTTCGGACTGGCATTTGCGACGGTAAGTCAGCTGAGCGCATGAACCGCAGGTGTCGGCACATTGCTCATTAGTAGCCCACTCACTCCAAAGTCCAGCCGTCGGACAGCATGCAGGACGTGTGGTAGTTGGAACCGCTGGAATTAAATTCCATTTTTATGGTTTCGAGTTTAGCGATCCTGCAGTAATATACTATTATTATATTTCTCGAAGATCGCGTAGAAGAACTCTAATGGACAGGCGTCATATACAAGGGGGGGGGAGGCAATCACTTTGCCTATGGCGCACATCATCAAACTTTTCGTCGCAAAGGATGCCGCTGTTATGAAAGTTTACGGCAAATATTCCTTAGATGTCCCCCCATAAGCAGAAGCAGGCCCTCCTTCACTGCCCTTCACCGTCTCCAGAATATGACGTCATCTGTCATCACCGTCGAGCTCAAGGAGGCTTACCGTAATCGCTCCGGCCTGAAGCTGCTACATAATTTCTTCAATCGGTTAACTGGTGAATAGCTTCTCAGAGACACTAGCTGTGACTATGCAAGACCGCTTTTGACCAGCGTTTCAGGGACGTCGTAATGGTCTATGGTACCTCGACGACCTCGTTGAGCTCGTACCGTGAACCATGTTTCCGTGGGAAAATCTTCTGATGTCGTCGGTGTAGAAGGCTGTTGTGTAATTTTTTGATAGATTAGAATGTGCTCTTCAATATTCAGTTGGGCTCATTCGGTTTGGTTTTGGCAAAGTGTAAATAATTCGTTTTGAATGTGGAGGGGAGTGAATTTTTGCGTAACATAGGCGTGAATCAATAGAAAAATACCACTACCACAGCATATATCTGCTCGCTAACTGGGGGCGGCCTGTACCGCTGACAGAGGCCAGCTGATATTAACGCAGGGAGCATGTCCAGCCATTTATTATACAAATATGAATAGTATGTGGCGGCGACATCATACAGAACCTTAACAGGATTGCGAATAGCTTCAGGAATCCGCCGCTTAGAGCCAGCTATTGCATTTTTTCCCTCAAAAGTTTCCCTTTCTGTTATTTTTTTTTGTGATTCAAACGAAGATTGAGGACGTTAGAGAAGGTTGCGTCAATTTTTTTGTTAACAAAGCATTCAAAGGCACTTCCCGCGACTGGATCCCTACCAATCTTCCCTTTTAAGGAGATAAGAGGGTCCACGAGACAGAGGTTATAATGCTACAGCATTGTGAAAACAAGCAATAATAGCGCCAGGGCTTAGTCATCACACCTGCTGAAAGGTGATCCTTCGAATTGCTAGGAGTGGGGTGATTTCTGCGCTCACGCTTGGCGTGCAATTCATGATCGTGTCTGTCTGTTCTTTCCCGAATAAATTGACTACCCAGTAGAAGTAATTGCGTCTAAGTGAACCAGAATCAGCCCTGAAGAAGCAAGTGCCAATTGAAACTTCAGAATCACGAACAAGTTTGCGGGCTTCAATCTGGAATACGTGACGAGGATGAAAACGTCAGCCGAGGTAAGCTTCCATTGGCACAAGACACCGCCACCCAAAAAAACTCGTAATAACAATAAGAGGTACGATCGCATTGTTGGCTCAAAAGGTTTTCCTGCGACAAGTTCACTTAAACAAGAAGAGAAATCAGTAATGATTTTGGTTTGTGCTCTGCATATCTATGCGTATCAATCAACACGAGAGACCTCAGAAGGCAGTCTATTCAAGACTAATTCTCACCAGTTGGTACAGAAGGAGTAGTTGATGAAGTGGGCACAGTGGTTGTCGATGTTGGGACTGTGGTTGTCGATGTCGGCACTGTAGTTGTTGACGTGGCACAGTGTTGTCGACGTAGGTACAGTGGTTGTCGACGTTGGCACAGTGGTTGTCGATGTAGGCACTGTGGTTGTCGACGTCGGCACAGTGTGGTCGACGTGGGCACAGTGTTGTCGACGTTGGTACAGTGGTTGTCGACGTAGGCACTGTGGTTGTCGACGTCGGCACAGTGGTTGTCGACGTGGGCACAGTGGTTGTCGACGTTGGTACAGTGGTTGTCGACGTTGGCACAGTGGTTGTCGACGTTGGTACAGTGGTTGTCGACGTGGCACAGTGGTTGTCGACGTTGGCACAGTGGTTGTCGACGTTGGTACAGTGGTTGTTGATG